TACTCTTTGACTGATGAGTTTTTCTGCACTTGCGGATAAAAGTGATAACCTTATACAACCATTGGAATCAGAAGTGCGTTCACCTCTGCACGAATAGACTTGACTGAAAGTAATATAAAATCATCTACTGACTTAGAAAGTCAAAATATATTTGACTATATTTAGTGATATCACTGATATCAGACAATTTATGATAACAAAATGTGATTTTTCTTCCAGGTTCTTATGAAACGAGGCGTAAACGAAACGATGGATCTTTAAGTCTAATAATTGAATAGAATGTCAAGAAAAACATATCAAAACGAATCAATTATTGTTTTATAGAGATAATACATTTTTAGAATGAAACAGAAACAAAATTTTCATAATCAAATCGATTAAATGCTACTTATATTTTAGTTTCAGGTCTAAAAAAATTCGTCGTTCGAGGATACAAAATTGTACATTGTAAACTGTCTTCGAATGGATATTATAATATTATGCTCGGACATCGGCAAGGCGCCTAATGCGCTTATTATAATATTATATAGAMTTACCGGCCGCAAAAGGCTTGCGTACATTCTCTGAGACTTCTGTACGAGCAATTCTCCTCGGTTTCGTTTCGCCAGGAACGATTTGATTTTTTCCTAAACGATTAACAATCAACCGCGATTACACAATCATATTATAATAACATAGTACATAATATTATGTATAATTCGAACAATAGTAATAACAATGGCGACCAAGAATTTCGTACGGATTCAAAAATATGGATTTTTCGCGTTTCGAGTGTAAATACTTTATAATATTATATCGAATTCAATAAATTTTAATATATAAAACAATATCGCAATAAAGAAAATCCACGCTGGGATCGACTTTTCAATCCCCGAGAGTCACGTCACAGGGTTATTGCATTATAGCAGTGCAGTTGATGAATTTACACGACCAGACACTAAAAATATTATTTTTACACATTCGGACGTCTTAGTCCGGGCGAGGGAGTCATACGCGTTTTTATATACATCACATAACAATATAGATAGTACGTATATATATAGGTATGCATTTAAATATATATTATTATTATTGTTTTTATTATCATATAATATAATAGGTAGATGATGAAATCGATATTGTTTACACTGCWCGACTCACGGATCGCAAACAAGTTTCTTCCACCCAATTTCCCATCCGGACGTTAATACTGTATAGTTGTGCGTCCCGATGGTCCATGATGTTGAYGATGGTATGGAGCAGGAATAATGTTGTTGTGTAAATATCGGGTAAATTATTATAATATTAYCGTGGTATTGGTAACTGATGTAAAACAATGTAAAACGCCGTACGATTCTATGTAGATTTTTTCACACGATATGGCCGCTGTGAACGATTGATGATAAAWTAATAATACGAATCTTGGCGGTTGTCACAGCTGCAGGCTTTGWTATACAAATATATTTATGGTAAACACGTCGCGCGGACGACAAACATATTACATTATAATTAGAAAGTCTAGATAATATTTTATTATTATAGGTAAAATAATTGTTTCTACGGGTTGCCGCGTATTTTAATTATGGCCATCACGACTCTGTTTTAGGCTAAATTGTCTGATTCGGGAATAAGTATACATCTAAAATGCCAAATGTTTTCACCGACCCATTGATAATTTTTATTTTGCTCTTTTAGACCGTTAAWAATTATTGTTCGTCTTACTATCCAYATTTGTGAGTACCAACCCAGTTGAAAAAGTGATTAGATTTTCAAAWACTGAAAAGAAAAAAGTTGMATTGACTTGCCCAAATATTGTAAAAGTTTACAACAAACATATGGGTGGTGTGGATCTACTTGACAGATTGCTAGGTAGATACACAATTAAAAYGAGAACCAAGAAATGGTACATGCGACTGTTTTATCATTTATTAGATGTGACCATAGTGAACTCCATAGGTTACTACACAAGCGAATTATTGCTCAAAAAAAAAAAATTATTTAGATTCAACACAAAAACTTATTTCACTTAAGGATTTTCGAGAAGAACTTGGAATATCTCTTTGTGTCAGTGGGCAGTGATTAACACCAAAACGTGGAGGCCCAAGTACATTGGAAAGTGTTATTGAAATAAAGAGAAAAAACTAAACGCAGCAGCTGTTCAGCCACCTAAAGACGTTCGGTTGGATCAAGTAAGTCACTGGTCAACAGATACTAACAAGCAAAGCCGATGTAAGATGCCAGGATGTTTTTCATATACCTGGTAAAAATGTACAAAATGTAATTTGCTTTTATGTGCTGGTAAAGGAAAAGAATGTTTTTTTTTTTAAATATCATACATCATAAAAAAGTGTTTTTAATGTTGTTTTTTTTAATTGACTATAAAGTTTTGCTAAACTAAAGTTAGATGTGTATTATTTTGTATCTAATTATTTTATTGACTTTTAAATATATTTATTTAAATAAACGATACATTAAATATTACCATATTTTTTATAAAAAATGAAATAAAAACAGTTATAGTGTAAATGCATGATGTCGTTCCTGAACAACAACCAACTTTATGAGCTTATAATTCATCAGTTTAAGTTCATACATTTTTTTATCATTTTTCCCATGTTATTTAAACCCTAAAACACTTTAAAAAAATTATTACCTTGAAAAACAAAAATCCTGCATTGTAGGGTTAATATATCTGAAATTACGCAAATATTGTTTACGTACACTCAATAATTGTTTATTAAAATATTTTTTTTTATTATTATTAAGAATAAGCCCTCGGCGACATTGGCCATTGGGAACAATGAAATTACATTTTTTACATCTATAATTTACAGAATTTACATTTGAATAAGTGTACATTCATTTTGAAGTTCTGCCAATGAAATGAAGTTGAAGGTGACTGCGAGTGAAGAGTTGTTGTGGCCAAGTGATTCTGCCAGGTGTTCAGGAAGATTTGATTCCAATCTTGAGTCGGTATAAGATAGACATTC